TTTTCATTGCTTCTTGAAATTCATCTCCATCCGTCATTCGATCTTTCGTACTCGATGACATTCGAGCGTAAGTATTATACGTCGACATTTTGTATATTCGATTTTGATTTTTTAATTTTAATGTTTGATATTTAAATTTAATTTTTAATAATAAATAATAAATAAATAAATATAATTGACATGTACTGTAATTGTGTTATTAAATAAATTGTTGCAGAAGAACACGTTGTGTATAAGAATAATGTTCATATACACTTAACGAAAGGACGAAAAAAAAGATGCGACCTATCGCTACGTGTGACACGAGAGAAGTGATAAAAACATTATTATCAGTTGCTTGTACAGTTGAATGAATTAATACATCTACATCAATGAGACATTCTTCAAGAGACTGGTAGGATATAATAGAAAATATATTCGTTAATTTCAACTAGAGTTCTTTTGTTTCACCTACCAAAACATGAAGCATGAGATGAGTAAGACAATGTGAAAACGGTTTAAGATTTATTTTCATATGCAGTTTTTTTTGTTTATCAATAAAAAGATAAAGATGTGTAATTAGACTTCGAATATGTTGAAAAATAGAAGTTGCATCAAAAGTTTTGTATTGATGTGTTCTTCGTTCATAAGAATCAATGTCAAGATTAAAATCAACATCAATTATTAAAGGCGTTTAAAATGTCGATTGTTGTTTAATTGAACGATCAACATCAAAACGAAAATTTTGATAAATATTATATTTTCTTGTTTCTAATGATTGGACAGATATTGTTAAATTCATTTTATCAGCATATATTTCAATTAATGTTGTTAATTTTAGATAAAGAAATCGTAAGGTTGTGGTATCATATTTATACCGTATCTTCACTCACTGCCCACATCCTCACACTTAAACTTGCCATCACCTACACTCTGATCCTCAAGTTTGATTTTGTTTCTTTTCTTTTCTTTGATTTGCAATTATTACGAAAGATGGCTATTCTAATGAAATTTTATTGAAAGATTAGAATTATTACATTGAGCTGACAACGAATAATTCGTACTAAATGAAATACTAAAAAGCATAAAAAACACAAGAGTGACAACTACAAATGCAAAAAAACTGGGAGTACTCGGAATATGCTTGGAAAAAGTAAAAGTCCGGGATCTGGAATCTAATATGGAGGAAAACACACACACACGCATCACACAGTAGTCATAAACACCGCGAGTAGGACATTTCTGAGAGGATTGGTATATGTTAACATCCGTTGGATATGAGACTGTATTTCCAAATGCCGTTAACGGCATAAGACCAAGAATTCGTATTAACAATGTATGTGTAGATATTACCGGCCGTATCTAGTTGTACATTTGTATATCCAATATACATATTAATGGTAAACGCGCCGTTAAAGACTATCACTTTTAAATAGCCAGTTCGACGAACGAATAGATAAATGGAACTACTTGTCAAGATATACATGTTTCCTGATCTGTCAAATGTTAACCGAATAGGTGCATATTGATTTCGAACCGTGAGGACAACCGTACCTTGTGAACTACCAGATGGATACATCATCACTCGACTAAAATAAAACATATCATTCATCAAGTGATCAGCGTTTATCCATAACGTTATAAGTTGAACAAGGAGTTTACAGAATTGAGGACGTATCTCCTACATAGCATAATGACTGGAACTACATTGTTGCGCTCTGTTGAGTAGGAATATATTAGATTCTTCTTAACTGAGTCAACTCTTCCTCGCGAATATGGATCTAGTGTCTAGGTTCAATTCCGCTCGATAAAAAACTAGTAGAATCAGTTAGTACAGACTCCCGATGAGGAACTGATACAGTCCTATGCTTGAATAGTTTTATTTATGCAATAAATGACTTACTATGGCTCATAAAAATGATGAATATATTAAACGACAGATTCCAACTTACTTGTTACTGTTATCCGCCACGTATAAAGTATTATTTGTGTCAACGTATATACCACTTGGATTGTTGAGTTGATCGAGCATTGATCCGGCCGTTCCGTTAGTGCCAGCCACAACAGTCAACATCATTGTAAACGGTGTGATTTTTACAACACGATGATTATTTGTATCAGAGTAGTAGATGAAACCTTGTCGATCAACAAAAAGACCACCACACTGGCACAGCTGATTCATTTGATTACCACATGTCACATCTCCGAATAACACAGTGCCGTCTGTACCGTTGCCCTCCACATATTGAACTACTCGGTAGTAGTTACTGGTCCCATAAATTCCGGTACCCCACTTACAACAGAATAAAATCATATTATTTCCATTAGATTATTAAACAATAAGTTTATTGTCTTCTTTATTTGCTAGCAGAGTTTATAGTAGGAAATCATTTTGAGGACATGGATATGGGTGAGGATTGAGACAAATCAGTATAAAATATGTATGTCAGTATGCACCAAACCCAAACGTTTTGAGTTGGGTGAAATTGACCAAATAAATTTGGTTTAGGTCTAATTGCGACTCAAATGTTAAAAAAAATTTCAACGTCAAACTCGAACTCATTGGAATTGAAATGGTTCGAGTATGATGCATGTTCACGAAAGTAGACGGCTTTAGCTCGGTTATTTCTCGAACGATTTTCTAGACGCTCGATTTAGAATGGGATCAGTCGTTAGTTCTAAAAAAATGCATGCTCTACGCGTATTTCTGCTCATGGGTAAAGCTTATGAAGTAGAGAAAAACTCTCAAAGATTCCGCGCCATTGATTTATTGCCGTCGAGACACTCCAAGTGTGGGTGGCTGTAGGTGTGAGTGTAGATGTGAAAGATAGACACCATCAATCAAACCCGCACTCACACCCACTCACACCTACACCTTGGCCTATCGGCTCAATTAAGAAATGACTAACCAGATATAAAAAAGGACATCGTTTTCGTGTAGTAAGAATAGTCAGATGGGTGATTATAATCTGTAAAAAATACTTTCAACGGATCATAAAGTGTATCGAATTTCACTTTCTGTTAGTTGCATAACCTACAGATCAGTCATTTTTAGTTTTGTGAGAAGTTTAGACCAAAATATATGCATCATTAAATCGATAGATTTCCTCTAAACTCCTGTCTCATTTTTATGTAAGAAGGCTTTTACTACTTATGATGTGCATGAATGGCAAACAGAAACTTACTCCAGATTCGGCTGAATAAACAGTTCCGTTAGAATCAACGAACACTCTGTTAGGTGCGTAAGGGATCGTTGTATTGGGAGCACCGATCACAGTGAATGTTGACGTATCATTTGCTTGAAATTTAATAACACGACGGTTGTTACCATCAGTGAGGATGTAATTATTTTTCGCATCGAGCCAAAAATCGTACACGAAAATATTATAGTTGTTCAAAAAGATGCTAGTTAGATTTACGGCGAGTTGATCAATATCTATCCAAATAGCAGCTGGACAGATAGCATCTAGAAGTTGATGAGACAGAAAAACACATTAGTTTGTAATGAAATAATCAGTCATCCGATATAGAATGTATATATCATAATCGAAACACAACTCAATTGTCTAATATAGCGATAGAGCTATCGATTAACCCTTCGACGGTGTCCTGGGATCCAAGTGGACCCATATGACGGTTTTTCGTTTACTACAACTTTGCGATTTGATGTATCAGATCAATCCTCTTTTCTAATCTTTAGTTTTGAGTAGCTGCATAATATGCACACAAGATATTAAATATAGGTTCAAATAGGAAAATATACAGGTATGGGTTCAGTTGGACCCTAGAACACCGACGGTGTTATAGATGTAATTTTTCGCCTTACTATGGCTGCCATCTCTTGCCTCCCTATTTTCTTTGTCGAGTATAGTTATTATGACTCATTTTAGGTTCATGATTAATAGTGATCATCACATTCTTTCTGGTACACTGTGAAATCTATGATTATTTTAGATTAATATCATCTCGCATCATTGTTCATTATTTTTACTTCTATTATGTGAATTTACCAAATTCTTCATACAAATGTAAGAGAAAGAAAAGCTGATGCGTAAATATCCATAAGCAGAATATGTAAAGACTTCTACTGCGCAAGAACTGCTTAAATAAAATAAAAGTATTGTTTTTTTCAAATTTTTTATACGTGGGTCCAAGTGGACCCTATGACACCGACGAAGTTATAAAATGAGGACACCGTCGAAGGGTTAATTGGGTGTGGGTGAGGATATAGACAGGTCTGCTTATAGACTTTAATGACGCTAGAGAAAGCATGCGTATCCGCGGTGATAGCGTCTCTTCTCTTTTATATCAGAATTTTGTTAGATTTATAATACCTACGTACCTATTGTGGATGTTCCTGAACTTGTCGAATTCGTAGTTGCATTACTTATTGATGAACATACGGCTGTCATAGCAGTAGGCATACAGATAGGTGTTAAACAGCAGCTGTTGATGACACAAACAGAGTTATTCGACGCACATGTTTTTGTGCTCGAACAAGCGTCGAACAATGAACAGTTTGCTGCAGGTGCACACACTGTTTTATTTTTCGATGTATCAAAACGATAACATAAGCTTGATAATGAACAACTGCCACCTTGACCACCAGAACTGCAGGAATCAACGATGCAACTTGCTGAAGATTTCAGTGATGCACCTAGATAAAAGAGATCAAAGAAATCATTCTCATCGATTTGATATTACCTTTACTGTACGCCAAAAGTAAACATAGATAAATACTAGTGAGAAATGCGCTTCTCTTCATTTCCATACGAATGAACCTTAACCAAAAAACGAATGTCAGTGTTTGAAAGAGGAACCGAATAAACTGCTAATTTATAAGAGCTCCGTAGCTATGAAAACTTTTTTTCTTTCATAATAATACTTTTTATTTCTCTCCTTTCTTTTTCTTTTTCTTTTTCTTTTTCTTTTTTCTCATTTTGCATAAACAATACTACTGTTGAAAATGAGAGAGAGACGTTTTTATAAGAGAAATTTATGTGGCTACCCCAAAGATTTTGTCAACAAACATTGCGTACTGTTTGAGGAGTCCATTAACAAATGGCAAAAATAAAAAACGAAAAAAAGGAAGTGTGCACATATCTGAAGTTTGTTATTCTCAAACAAACTACTTGAAAGCAATGTTTTGCATACGAAAAAGAAACGGGTGAGTGTAAATGTGGGTGAGAGTGTGAAGGTGGATGAAATATCCACCCTCACCCTGTCGGAAGTCTCCAGAATCTGTAAAGGTTTTCTGAAGTGTCGAAACTTTTTCGAACAATATAAGAAAATTGGATGTAAATCACACAATTCATAAAAGCATTGCTTAATATTTTCAAACAAATTCCAAAGATGTATCACAAAAGCTATTTTCTCAATTTATGTGAGACTAAAATGTGAAACACGGTCTAGCTAGTAATATAATGTAAAACGAAATCAATGATCTCGGCCAGTATTTAGGGAACTGCAAAATCACTTTTTTTGGTCCCGGTCCCGGTCCCGGTCCCGGTCCCGGTAAAATCTTTTTGGTCCCGGTCCTGGTCCCGGTCAGTTTTTTCAGTTGGTCCCGGTCCCGGTCCCGCTGGTCCCGGTCTTGATAAAAGCTTAAAAATAATTGTAGTGTTGTCTTCATCTATGCAAAAAAAACATGAAGTTCAAGAAAATTCTCGCTTTTTCGATTGTAAATTCAATCTATACGGTTTTTCTTGAACTATAAAATAACACATTTGTCAATTCTTAATTAAAAAAACATAAAAAAATAGAAAATGTCTGGTCTCATACTTGGTAAAAACATTGAGGAATTATCTGACAATTTTAGTCTTGGTCCCGGTCCCGGTCCCGGTCCCGGTAATTTAGAGAAATTTGGTCCCGGTCCCGGTCCCAGTCCCGCGGGACCGGGACCGGGACCGGGACCGGGACCACTTTGCAGTTCCCTACCAGTATTCCCGAGTGATATGAAGTAGGTAGTACTCATTAACGAGTATTGATCGATTAATCTTCAACAGTTGTCTTATGAACGTGGGTGAGGATGTGGGTGTAAGTAGATTTTATCAGTGAAGAAAATACTTAGGCCATAGCAGTACAGATCTTTATTAAAAACTTGGTACATGTCCGTATGCGTTGAAGATTTAAGAAAAGTATTGAAATTTAATAAATATTTATAACCAAGGATTTTTAAATATAAAATCTCGGTGATTTATCGCCATTGATCGCAAATGGCGAAAGTAACTGTTTTGAAAGCTTTATATTTAGTAGATTAAAATGTCGATGTTCTTCAACCTAACAATCAACTTTAAGCCAGTCCATCGCTTAGTATGTAGACAATGTGTCACTAACGCTCATTTCCTGTCGCGAACATTGGGCAATGACAAAAATACTTATCAAAATTTCGATGAACGAGGGTGGTTAATCGATAGTTCAGCAAGTGAGCCTTAATTATGTCTTCTTTCGGTGCACGGTCACAAAGCACAATTAGAATTTTCTAATTGTTAGATAGAGTGAAGACCAAAGTAGAGGTGGAACGTGCTCTTTCGATTGGTACTTGATGAACAAAATAACATTAAATTTTGAAGATACTAATTGTTAATCGGGCCGTACTGCAAATGTGAAAAACCATGTTTTTCCAACTGCACTTTTTGAAGAATTTGTTTTCAACTTAAAAAATTCTGGATGAAAAAAAACATCGTTGCAAACAAAGTGCAGCTGTTACGATTTGACGACGCCATAGTTGAAGCACAAGAGATAAGAAAAAAGGAAGAAGAAAGAATTGTACAAATACCGTCTTATTTCGCTTTTTCGCCGAAATAAGCAGTCAAACAATTTACGTGTAAGTGTTGAATCTTTACAAAGGAGAGTTACAATTCTAGGGTATTCTCTTTGGCTACATCCTCGCCAACACCCACACCCCTGAATAGTCTTACCCTACATTTTGATAAAGAAATACTTTGTTGTATGTTGTATTTAAATACATTTTTATTTAATATTTGTAGTCATGTGAATCTCCAACAGAAATCATCCTTTATTAGCTCTGGATATTTAAAATACATTTAATAATCCGAATAAATTCTCTAGTTATTTGTTGTATTGGTCATTTGTCAAATAGATATATTTATTCAAAAAGTATAATATTAATATAAATATTGGGTTACTGTAACGAACAATCTAACAAATGAGGTAACACGGCTCAATTGCGATCAGCACAAAAAAACTAATATTTAAAACAGTCTCGCTGAGCACAACAGGAAAAAAGAAAAGGTTAAAGTCAAAATAAAAACAATTAACATCTAAAGTAGTTTCGGTTTCTAAATCTTCATATTTGTTAAGCATGCTTAAATGCTTGGTTATTTTATTCGAATAAAAAGACACACATGCAGACAGATAAAAAAAATCATTTATAATTATCACTTTCAGATCCTGTTTGTTCAAGCTAGAAAATAGGTAACATATAAAAATAAATAAACCGAAAGAAAGAAAGGTGTTAGAAAATGATTTGTCTTTGCCATATTTGTTGGTTGCACAGCACTGTCGTATTTTAACATACATTGTTGTAAACGAATATCAAATCGTTGACTATATTGATGTTGACATGAATAAAGTTTTTCTGAGTTGATTGTAGTTAAAAACTCAACTAAAAATATGCTTGAATCAGCTTGTGTACATATTGTATAATTTACTAATCCACTAGCGTTTGGTAAAAGCATATCCGTATCAATGACGCCTTGACCATAGAATTGATGAGCATCAGCCGACATAATATAAAGAGATTGAACATTTTTTGTTTGTCGACAAAATCCTTGGCTATTGTTTGTTTGCATTTGTACCATAAATTGAGCGGCACTGTTATCCCACCTATACGAAATGTGTAGATAAGAGTCAGTGAATGTTTGTTGCATTACAGAAAAAAACTTACCACTTCATATCAGACTCAGCTGCATTTTGACATTTTGCAAGTGATGATATAAAATTCAGTACGAATGGTTTTAATGTAATATTCATTCTTTTTAGAGTTTCGAACAATTGGGTCAGATTGACTGGCAGTGTGTTTTGTGTGCTTCCTGGCATAGCAACAATATGTTTGATTCCACTCGTAGCAACACGTTGCATAGCAAATATATCTAAGTTTACAATAGATGTATAAAATGATAGAACAATGTAGATACTCACCCAAGTAAGCGTTTGGATTACCGGGTAACGTCTCAGTATCATACAGATAATTAAATATTGTCAAATTTGGCATTAAAGAAGAAAAATTACTTAATGGTTTGAATTGACCACCTTCAAAGATTATAGATAAAAGTATTTTAAAAATATAGAAATGTTCTCACCAGAAAAATAAAGTGTTCCTATTTTTGATACAATGGATCGATCTTCAGAGATAGCTGTAGCAAGATTAGTCATTGTTCCAAGAACCAATATATCGACGGGTACTTTAGAATATTTCAATGTTAGTTTAATTAATTCAATAGCACCAAATGGAGACGGTTAAAGAAAGATATTTGCTGACTGATTCAGACAAGTCGGTGACGTTATATATGTATCCAGTGCATCTAATAATGCTGGTGAAATTTGAAAACCAGCGGATATTAACGGAAGACTATATAAACAAAAAACGAAATACATAAATCATGAAATCTATATAAATTTTACGTCGCTCCAAAGCCGACTCCAACACCATTTGAGCAACCAATTAGATCAAGAAAAGTAAGAACATTCGATCCTGAATACAACGGTTTCCTTAATTGAAGAAAAATAAATAAATAACAGTCAGTGAGTGTCATTTAAATATCAAACTACGTGTATCCATCGCCAACAGTCGTCAGTGCAAGAAGATCAATTGTTGGTACCTTCAAGATCGATTTAGACAATAATCCTGTCCAATATTTGCACTTACATTAAGAACATAATGAATTGCCCATAAATCATCAACATCTGAATCCGTATCAATAATCAGTGGTTGTCGTGTACCATCTTGATTTATACAAAATTGAATTTGTTGTTCTGCATATGTTAATGCCCGACTATAAACGCGGCAGTTATTGGCTATTATTAAGAATACTATTGTTAATAAAATATTTTGATTTACCATTTGTTCTTTATACCAGAAACGCAAGAAAAATCAGGATGTGCTGTTGAAACTGTTTGAATAAAAATAGAAGAATGAATCGTCAATTTTTCTTTTAGTGAAAGGTAGATGTCGAAGTGTCATTTTTCTCATTATCTGATGAAACAAAATAAAAAAAAAGTGTGAATATGATAATGACTTAAATGTATGAAAAACGCCTATCAATGTTGATAATTATATTTTTCGCACAGACAACTTATATTTATAAAAAAAATGTTTGTAGATATACTATGAATTTGAGTTGTATATTAAGAAAATATAAATAAATTTTATATGGTACCTATTGTAACACTTTCTTTATTCCTATCATTTGCTTTAATATAAATTGATAGTGACGTACTGAAGGTGTTTACTTAAATATATGCTTAATTTTTATTATTGTCGAATCTTTCATCTATCGCTCGAAGCAACTTTCAACATAGTTTTTACAGAAAACCATCTTGAGGATGTGGGTGTGAGTTTGAATAATTGAAAATAATACCCACACCCGGATCTTTTAAATTGAAATCAATTCGATACTGATATCCCTAATAAGCTAAAACAATCGATCATTTTTGAAATTGTTTAAAAAAATCATATTTCAAGCGTATCTATTTTATTTGAATAAATAAACACCAAACGGTTGATGAAAAGGAGTTAATTACCAGCGTTACCTCTTGTTCTTTCAAGTTAGAAAATAAGTAACATAAAAAACAATTAATCGAAAGAAAATGTAAGAAAAATTGGCGATTGATTCGATGTTTATTAAGAAATATTCGTCTTGTCGCGTGTGCCAGATAGAGCTCGACGAATTCTATCGAAAGGTAGATTCGGATTTTGAGAAAAGAACGAAAGTATCGGAGAAGAAAAAGAATTTTTTACTATAGTGCATAATAAAATAATAGCGGGTGTGCGTGTGAAGGTGTTTTTTTTCATTACTCATCCACACCTACACCTTTCAATGAGTTCGATTGAGTTTTTCAAAGCATCAATATTCTCAATATCAGTGAATACTATATTATTGAATTCATTTAAAGCTATTTGTTGATTTAAATCACGTCTATGCTACTGAATTAAGTCATTTATTTCATTAAAACTATCAGTCCACATTTCAATAAACTATACTCACAAACAACATTAGAAATGTGCATATTAAATTAGTAAGATTGATATATTATGTTCTAATATTCTAAAAAAAAATTCAGACTCATTTCTCTCAGAATTATTTCAAAGATTCAAACATTGACGGATCATTTCAAATTTGTTTTGTATCTAAATAACTATCATTATGTTACTTGCGTTATTTTCGCATCATTTGAAGACGACAGAAACGTCTTACTTTATACTATATTCTGTAGACAAAAACAAAACTTTTAATGATGACAAAATAACTATTGGTTTTGCATTTTAATTAATTCTACTACAATGAACATATCTATTTCTACTTATAAAAAACTACGTCTACAAGAATTATTCAAAAAACAATAAAAATGTTTGCAAACGATCAGAACAGTGTCATACATAAATATAATTTGATCCCAAGCCATAATATTGCAAGACATCGATTGCATTAATAACATGATGTTAAATTTCTGGAAGTGGCCTACGAAGAACAGCCAGTTCTATAGGTTCTAGAATAGCTGGTTTTAAATCCACATTCTCTGTGTTTGAAATAGAGTGACATGTCGTAAATTTGCGGCGTATACAATAATAAATAAATAAGACATAAACCATACAAATCGTTCCAAATATGAGATAATATAACCTACAATTCATGTAATATTAAAGTAAAATGAACTCTAAAAGATATAAAAGTTAAAAATTAGGGTGTGTGTGTGTGAGTGTAGCATGAAGAGAATACTCACGCCCACACTCTCAAGTTGGTATTGAATCAATAAACTCGACAAAAACTTATTACCTGCATGGTTTCCATTTGACCCGGAGGTAATTTTTCTTTACAGTCCACATTAAACCGAAATCGAAGAATTTGTTTTAACGCAATAGTTATTGGATCATCATCTGGTTTTGATTGTAAAAAAATAATAAACCACAGTGTGCATAAAAAGATGCTGTCGTAATTGGATATATCTGATCAGATAAGATTGCTGTTGATCGTAGAAAAGGATCCAAAATGTCTCTTATAATAGTTAACAACTCTCAGTCATGTTAATTAATAGTTAATTCTTTTAAACGTTTTTTTGTTTTTCAGTTAAACCAGAAATATTGTTCGGGTAAGCAAACATATTCTTTACAGCATGTTTACTCATTAATAATCTGTTCAATAGTAGAAATGAACTGTTCCATCTGATAGCCATGTTTAAAACAAGATCATGGTTTCTTTTACCAGGATCTAATGATAACATATACTTGTTAATATAGTCATTAATGCCAGTATTATTAAGAATAAATTTAACAACAATTCGAGTTTTTATCATTAATCCATATATATATATCAGTTAATAATTTAAAATGAGGATGTGGGTGTTGGTTTAAGATATATAACACCCACACCTAAGCCCAACTTTTTTCTTACTTCCATTGAAATTTCATCGTATGGGATTATTTTATCTTTTGACTTATTACATATAGTATCAGATATATCGATTAAACATTTGTTCTCTTCCAGTCCCTTTTGTATTGCTAGATAAAATTAAAATAACACAAATACGACATGATACTATTCGATCAATATAAAGTACAAAACTACTCCTACTTCCATTAATTTTTTAACAGAAGCAAAAATGTTTATGGTACAAATTACTAACCTGATAGTTCTATCCCGAGTTGAAAAACCCTAACTTCATCATAGTTTACATATTTTGACTTCTTCGCTTCGTTTATATTTTTATCTTCAACCTCATCAAATATTCGTTTTGCACCTTTCCTTGTTGACAGTATAACATCTAAAATACAAAAAGTTGTATGCATATACAAAGAAACCTCCCAAATTACCATCATTCATATTACCCTCCTGAAGAAACTCTGCAACATCATCGCTTTAAATATGTTCACATCCTCAAGATGATCTGTCCTCTTCATATATTTATTGTTGAATCATCGAAACAGTAAACAAATAACAATATATATACGTATGCACAACAACGAAAATAGAAAAAAAAGGAAAGAACGAAAAAGAAGTGATATATGGCCTTGTGTACAGCACAGATCATAACAATTGTTGAAATTGATATAGAAAGATTCAAGCGAGTGGATGGCTCTAGTGGCGTAGATGAAACATATTATGGTAGTTGTTCACACTCACACCTATCTGCCAGATAGGTTAAGGTTCGTCTTTCTTGATCTAATTTTACCGTATTGGCGGAATAATAAGAAACAAAATCCATCGCAATTGTTTCACCCAGTTCGTTTGCACTTGTGATCGCCTGAATAAACGGTTTTAGTCCGAGTAAAAATGGCAATGCTGCACAATTGAGGCGTACCTCAATGCCATCTTGACCAATAGGATGCAGCAACTTATCCACCGCAATACTTCCAACTTTATAGAAATATCCTCTCATTGTGTTGACCGTTTTAAAAATCTCTTCCGGTTGTATTTGCCGAATATCTTTGTGTGATCTATCTTGCGAGGCATAGCCTACCAACGCATCTTTGATTTTTCCCTGCGAGAGCAAAGTTTTAAAAGGAAAACTTATTGCTTCCAGTGTAGGTTGACCTATCGCATCGATGAACGTTTGAAATTTATGCACTTCGCCATTTTCAAGTGTTAAAAATGCACCGCCATTAACCAAGTGAGAACTTAATGTGTAATCATTTCCAACCGCAAGAACATCAAGTATTCCGACTTCGTGCAACGCAATGATTTTCTCTATGGATTCATGAGGGATGCAAGAATAATTATCAATAAATATAAGTTTCAAGCTTTGATTGAAACACTGCAATTCCTCGGCCGAAAAGTAAGGACAGACGGAGGCGAATAAATCGCCCATACGTAAAATTGCAAAGCGCCAAGGAATTGTTTGCTGCGTTTGATAAGTTTGTCGGGCCTTCGTCAAATCTTCCTTTGCATGTGTGAATATATTGCCTTGCATGCGCTCTTTAAAATATTGTACATAAAATTCTTCAATTGACAATTGTTCAAGGTTCATGCTCCTCGCATAATCTGGATCGTTCAAAATTATTTCCGCTTTGAACAAAGCGAATAGATTTTCCAATAACGGGAAATTTGCCTCAGTTTCCGCCTTAGCACATAACGCGTAGATCTTGCGTTCTTTAAAAACATCCAATGGTATATATGGATCGGAAAAGTAGAAGTCCGCTGCAGGCAGAATGCCTTTGCGTGAAAATAGTGTCACGCGGAGATTCTTAGTATGGTCATTTGGTTGATATTGCATCACACCTTTTGCAGTACGTTCGAATCGGCCATACTTCAATGCTAAATTGATCGCTGTCTCGATAGCACTAAGTGAACTTCCACGAATACCTATTGTTCCAGGCTTGATACGGTCCAATTTAGAAATGGGCCAAGGTGACGAATAATAGTTCAATATTTTTGAAGTTTCTTGAGGCCATGCATGTCCGGTAGCAATCGCCACCTTGCTGAAGAGGGTGTGCTGCTCTTTATTGTTCTGTATATAGCTAATGCGTATACCATCAGGCAAAACCTCTACATCGTGCACATGTGTGGATACCTTAACCTGAATGCTATGGCCAGTCTTATTACCACGAGAAACGAGTTGGCTTAGTTGATCGGCAAAGTAATCGCCTAAAATAAAACGTGGATAGAAGCTCTGGTCAGAAATTTCATCTCGCTTGATATTGAAATTTTGTAATTGAGCATCGCTTCGAGAAATTAGCCAGACATCGAAAGATTGGCAGATGGGTGGGATTTCCACGCTAGGACTATTTGATAAATCATGCAGGCTGCATCCCTCTGATCCATAGGGCGTGCCCTTTCCGGGAACAGTGGCCTTTTCAAACACGGTTAGATCGAAATATTTTTCGATGGAATCGAGAAGATGTTTCAATGTATAGATCGCAGTGGGACCGGAACCAATAATAGCGCACTTTAACATTGACCAATAGATACCCTGTGCCAAATAATACAAAGATATTATGATAATTCATTAACAGTTTGAGCGGATATTTACCTATTCCACGAAAAGAATACTGTCCTCTTGCCTTTATGCTTTTGTTCAAAGGATAGCGCACAAATGAAGTAGATCATGGGGAGGCGTTTTTCAAGGGAGCTTCTGTGCTATCCTTCGTGGATGAGGGTACTAGGCGAATACAGTATCCATACTCACCCCCACATCCACACCCTCAAAATTATTGAAGAAGGACGCCGATATATCAGTACACTTAAATTCAACTTTAAGTCTTAACACTATGGTCAAATTAATATTTAAAGTCAAACTTACGCGCGTATTGTACGATATATTTGTGAAATATGTGAGTTTGCTTTACGTCTTTGTAGCTGATTTCGTTCCTTTTATATTTGGTAAAAGTAATTTCATTTTTTCCAACATAGATTGATTTATGAAATCAATCAACCGTGACATTTACGTCAGATAGGAAGCAACTGACGAAATATATTTCACGCTGACTCATTGAAATTGCTTCGTTCTTCCTCCACTTACATTCGTTTAGGTGATTCAATGAATCATAATATTCTTGTGATACATTTATTATCGCCAATTCCGTTTTTTTATAGTCTTCGTCATTCTATTTCCTTTTCTTTTGACGTGACATAATCATGAAAAAAAACATTCAAATAATGTTCACATATATGTATTGGAGTACTGGAGTCAAATTTTTGCACCATATTTCTCATGAATGGAAGAAAGAGAAGTTTGAATATCTTTTTACGTAGTAGTTTATTTACGAAGGGAAGAGATTAACTTTTAACAAACAAAATTGATCTATTTATATACGAAATATTGCGCAATTATCTTGAATATAGTGATGCAATAACCATGACTATCTTGCGTAATTACAAATGTCGTTTCGAAGGATGAAACACAAAATGATAATTTCTAGCATTTCTGAATGAGATTTTCTTCACTTCCGAACATGCCCATTCCCACAAGATAAGCGTCCTGCTCATCTTCTTTTTATTCACGCATCTTGGGTGTGGGGTGGGTAGGTATGATGTCATAAATACTGGTGTGAATATTGATTCTATCACTCACATTCACATACACACCCTTGTTGTAATGCTAATAATTTGTTCAGATTTAAATTGAAGTCGATTTAATTCAAATGTAATATAACGTTCAATATTTGTTGACACATTACGACCTATGATGCGAAGGTAGCCAAGAACAGCTGGTACAGTTTCATATGTATTTGTAAATATATGACCAGTAAGGCTTCTATAATGCACTCGCTACGAGCTTCGCCGTAAATCACTTGTGAGTGCTAAAAAATCAATTTTTATGGGAAGAGAACGTAAATGGTCTGTATAGGACGAGTATATTGCAGCTATTTTTTGTCGAACAGTTTTTCTGTTTGGACCAATATAACCAGGCTCAGCAGTATAAAGAAACTTCCTCATTCCAGATCGACGGAAAATACCAAATGGAAGACCATCATGCAATTCTTGTCTACGTTCAGATGTTAAAACTGGAACTTGAATCATCGAATTATCATTATTTTGTGAGGCAAACAACATGTTACGAGTTTGATGTAACGAACTTGCCAAATGCTAAAGTAAATTAGCATCAGTTCGTTTACTACATTGATAAACCTTATGAAAAAGAAAAAAATATTTAAAATCATAGATCTATCCCCAGTTCACTTTTTTCACCTACGACTTAAACTCTTTCGCCTTTTTTCTGTGTTTAAGCAAAAATAGTTTCATAATATATAAAGAGCATATATTTATTTTTAATTAGGACTGTCACATTACCGTTACCGGTAAAATGTAATGATTTTTAACGTTATTATTACTATTACTAGCAGGGTGTGGATGTGGATATGGCTATGAATGTGATTATAATGCAAATGA